GCTGTCGAGCAGAATCCCTTTGCTTTTTTTTTTCATATAAATTTGGAGGTTTCGCCAATCATACCCAACCCTCTGTTCTCTTTTAGAAATAAAGCATCTCAAGGCATTTCTTACTCCTTCGCTGACTTTACAAGTCGAGGGAGTTGATCCTCCCCCTCTGCTTAGTGCTGTTGAGGCAACAATTGGAGTACTTTGCCCAGTGCTGGGCTCCTCAGCATAAGTAGAGATGGACATAGTGGAGAGCAGCTAGCAAGGGTCCACAAGGATGGTGAAGGGACTAGATCATCTGTTCTATGAGGAAGGAGCTAAGAGTGCTGCTTCCAGGCTGCTGAACCTGCAGAAGACTCTGTAGGGGGTTTTTTTCAGTGTAAATCAATACCTGAAGGCAGGGTTGAAAGAAGACAGATCCAGGCTCTTTTCAGGGTGCCCACAACTTCTCTCTGAACATTTGGAAACCTTTCTTTTACTGTGACGGTGATGAAACACTGGCAGAGGATTTCCAGGGTGCTTGTGGAGTCTCCCTCCTTGGAGATGAATCTCAAGATCTATGTGGCTATGGTCGTGGGCTACTTGCCACAATTCCCTGGAGGAAACCTTATGTGCCCACTTTCCGCACTGGCTTTTGATGCAATAATCCTACCCTCCAATTCTGGGTTTACAGCCTGGCTGTCATTGTGATCCCTCTCCATTTGCTTCTGTCACTGTGTTTGACCTTAAGTGCTGCTGGACCTCACCTGAAATTGACTTTTTGTTGCCTTTCATTTCCTGGAGGAAACCCCACTGATGTTTCTCGCTCCTCTGATAATAAGCTGGGACTAGCTCTTCTGGACTTACAGCTCACCCCCTCATCATATTCAATATTGGAGTTAAACCAATTAAAGTGTCACAGGTTGTCTCTTGATAGATCTGCAAACTCTTATCACTTAAGTCTCATAAGCCCAGCTGAAGTAGTCTTTCATTAACTTTAGCAAAGACACCTCTTTAGTTCCAAAACTTTCATGTACTCTCATTTAAAAATAAAGTGCAAGACTGGGACTGGTTGCAAGGGCTGGTGGACGTTTTGAAGGTGAGCAGTTAGTCCTAAACTTTACTACCCCTCCCTACTGACCATACAGACTTCTAAGCATCTTCAGCACCTTCCCAGAAGAATGAGTTTAATTGGTGTTGAGGCCACTGACATCCTGGCTTGTATCAGCAACAGTGTGGCCACCATGACCAGGGCAATGATAGTCCCCATGTTCTTGGCACTGGTGAGGCCACACCTTGAATCCTGTGTTCAGTTCTGGACCCCTCATTGCAAGAAAGACACTGAGATGCTGGAGCACATTCAGAGAAGGGCGGCAAAGCTAGTGGAGGGTCTAGAGCACAAGTCCTATGAGGAGCAGCTGAGGGAGCTGGAGTTATTTAGCCTGGAGAAGAGGTAGGTCAGGGGAGACCTCATCACTCTCTACAACTACCTGAGAGAAGGTTGTAGCCAAGTGGGGGCTGGTTTCTTCTCACAGGCAACTAGTGACAGGACAAGAGGATGTAGCCTCAAGCTGTGTCAAGGGAGGTTTAGATTGGATAATCAGGAAGAATTTCTTCACAGAAAGGTTTATTAATTGTTGGAATGGACCATCCAGGGAAGTGGTGAAATGTGTGTCCCTGGAGATGTTTAAAAGACATGTGGATGTGGCACTTAGGGGTATGGTTTAGTGGTGGACTTGGCAGTGCTTAATTAATAGCTGGACTTGATCACCTTAAAGTTAATTTTCAACTCAGATGATTCTGTGGTTCTAGTGTAATGTATGTGTACATGTAGATTGACTTTCCCCACTTGTCTTTTAGAATTATCTCAGCAGTGTTCGCATTACATCTGGGAAATTCCTTAATTTCATTCCAGTACTTACTGTGCTTGTGACATTTTTCTCTCTTTGTTTGCCTTGTCTCTCCCCTCTGCACCCCATAGCACAACCCTTTGTATAATTGCATTGGATCTATTTTCAAAGAACTTTCTATCTATTAAACCTGCCCAAACTAAGTATTTTACTGCAAAGAATCAGTTTTTAAGCTTGTGCTTAATTGATGGTTGGTGCTTTCCAGGTTAATCTTTTCCACGGAATGCAATATACCGCTATTTTCCAGGTATATTCAAGTATTTTATAATAATGAAATATCCTTCTGATGATTTTAGTGATAGTAAATAACCTTTTAATCCTAAATTATGGAAGGTGTATCCCATCTGAGTTCTTTTAGGTGTGTTCTCTGAGAGGTTTTGAAAGAACTTATGACTGAAACATTAGAGAATTGTCTGCTGGTGGAGGCTTTAAATAAATTTTTTGGTCTTATATAGGCAGCATAAATATTTATTAACAAATCATGACATGGGCTGTTCTTTTCAATACATTTTTTTCTTATGCTTATTGTGAGTCAAAGAAACTTGTATTGGTGTGTTACAGATTGCTATTGCTGTGTTACTCTTTTCCATTCTTGGTTTCTGGTCTGTGAAACAGCATGTTTCTAAGTCCCACAGCTGTCCCTTTTTAGCTATAAATCAGCTATAATTAACTCATTATGAGCATTGCCATTTTCTGTGCTGTCAACAATGTCACTGTTGCAAATGCAGCTTTTTCAAAAGTATCTGTGCTCTCAGGGAGCTCTCAGGCACCTATTAGACGTTCTTTGCAGAGTGATAATTTCAATTATTTGTTGTTATCTGTTCATTATCAGGCTTTAGGGAATAAAGAATTCAAAACTATTCAACCTGAATATATTTTTGAGGTTTTTTTGTAAATTCTACTGGTGTTCTACATACTAGCAATGTTATATATATATTTATAACAATTATTTACTATATTTCTTAATTGGGAAATTTTTTGTAAGAGTTAATTTCTTATCTTATTTTGTACAACCTTCAATTAATTCAGAAGAATTTGAATGGAAACTCAGTAACAAAAAGTAGTTTTCTACTACTTGTACTGAAATTGCAGTTAGAATCCAGTTCAATTCTGGCAGGTCATGTCTACAAAAAGCATCAAGCTGAGATGATGTGATCCCCTTTAAAAGGCTGATAAGATGGAATTGTAAGCCTCTTCTATTCCTGCTCCCACTGAGATCATTTGGCTTCCCTTTCAGCTGGGGAAGAATTAGTTGAGAAGTACCACCTGTGGATGTCACCAGTGCTGAGAGGAAAAGGTGACAGTCCAGTTTTTTCAAACGCAACAGTACATGCCACGAGTGCAGACAACACAGGTGTTCAATACACAGCCTGCATTATAATGTGTAAGTTTAAAGTTCCTGAGGATGATAAATGTCATGCCACTGATTGCTCTGTTTTTTAATATTTTTCAGAAATGGAAAAATTTCAGGGTTCTGAAGGCAAGAAGGAAGATGAAGAAAAGAAATATCTTGATGTTATCAGCAACAAAAACATAAAGCTGTCAGAGAGAGTTCTGATCCCTGTCAAACAATATCCAAAGGTACTGTAAAATGTAGTCTAACACTTGTAGTATACAGGCTTTGTAGTATTAAAAAGAAAAGAAATCAAGCTCCTACTTGAATTTACCTATTATTAGCTATTACATGTTTTCACTTATGTATCAGGGCCTTTCAGAAAAGCTGTTAAAGTGAATGAAATTTTTTTTTAACTTCAGGTAGGTTTTGTGGATTATACTTAGGCAGACCATTGATCTTTTTTCTCCGAGTTGTTTTTTCACATGAACCATTTTTTTATAAAATAACTGGTATTACCAGTTAACAAAGAAAAAAATGTTTCAATAACTCTGAAAAGCTTCGTCATAGAAGAGCTGGGTGATTTTCTCTCGTGTAAGAAGTTTTGGAAGATCAAGTATAAGGATTACTGATTACTGCAGGCTGTGACTATGACAATGTTCATCTTTATTTATAAAAATCAAATGTCTTAGCACCTCAGACTTTCTTCCCTGTTCTCGCTGCTGCACACTCTGATTTTAAAACAGGAATTTTTTTCTTGACAAAGAGCCCCAAATTCATCTGCTTGTCAGAAGTTTTAGTTTTTATTTTACGGAAGAGAATGTTGATTTTTTGCAGCTTGGGTGTTTATTTGGTTTTCTTGTACAATGTTTGATTTTACATAAACAGTTGTTCTAATAGTACTCATGCTGAAATGGTAAACATCTCCATTTGTCTCCACAGTATTTTTTCCTTGCTGATTTATTATCACATGGTATTTAATTCACCAATAGCCTTGATTACACTCTCAGCTTTTTACTTTATACTTTCATCAGAACAATAAATTACAACTGGTAAAAAGCCAATCAAGCAAAATGAGAGATGTAAAAAAATTGAGATTCGATGATTCCAGTTGACATTTACCTCCTGACTAGTGAATATAAAACTGAGATAATGTAATAATCCAAATGGTAAACACCTTAGAAACACATACCTTGCTATAAGGAATTACTTTCTTTCTGTATAGCCTAAGTTGCTTTAACTAGATTTGTGGTATTTTGTGTAAGTGCTGTAGGTGACCTGAAATTCTTAGTAAAAATGTAGTCATTCTGTAGCTTCATAATGGCAATGTGATAATTATTCAGAGTACTGTTTGATGAAGATAGTAGAATCAAAGACAAACTATTTAAAAGACAAAATGCAATAATCTATCCAGTATAGCATCTGAATATGATTGAATTAAGCTTCATTTACTTTAATGAACCTGTCATATTAATGAACAGTAAAAAATATAAAGCATTTTTACAGATTTAGACCAGTGAAGCAAAAAAATCAGTGTGATGGAGATAAAATACTTATTCAAGAATGAAAATAAACTGGAAAGTTTCTGTAGTTGGTTTGCTTGCAATATTCTGTGCTTGGCGTGGAATTATTCTCAGAACTGCAGGTTTCCTGCTACCGTCTCTGGTAACCATCCTTCAAGGATTCCATTTGCCATTTGTATCAAACTACAGATTGCTGTGATCCAGTGTCTTATCTTCTCTTGAAAATTTTATACATTAAAGTAGTCAAAACCAGTACCCATTGGGTGCTTCAGATTGCTTTATAAATAGCAAAAAAGACAAGAAACTCAATTAAAAGAGGATTATATATATTTAGTAGAATATGTTAATAAGAGCAGTTGATCAGACTTATATCTATAAATAAGATTATTACCATGTGATTTCGCCTGAGAGGCATTTATCACAGAATCATAAAATATGCTGAGTTGGAAGGGATCCACAAAGATCATTGAGTCCAACCCTTAGCTCTGCACAGACCCAACCCCAGGAGTCATATCTAGGGTTGCATCATCCTAGGTGCAGAATCTGCCACTTTTCCTTGTTGAACTTCATGTGGTTGGTGATTGCCTAGTCCCCTAATTTTTCAAGGTCTCTCTGCAGGGCCTCCCTGCCATTGAGGGAGTCAACAGTTCCTCCCAGTTTTGTGTCATCAGCAAACTTGCTTAGTATCCCTTCCAGTCCTGCATCAAAGTAATTTATGAAAATGTTTTAGGGCAGTGGGCCTAAGATGGAGCTCTGTGGAACCCCACAAGTGACATGTTGCCAGTCTGATGTTACTGTATTACCCTCTGTGCTCCAGCCATGAGCCAATTGCTCACCCACCACATGATGTGTTTATCCAGCTGTGTGCTGGACATTTTGTCCAGAAGGACCCTGTGAGAGACAGTATCGAAAGCTTCACTGAAATCCAAAAAGGTTGCATCAACTGGCTTCCCCTGATGAACTAGGTGGGTTACCTTGTCATAGAAGGAAATCAGGTTCAATAAGCAGGACTTTCCTCTCACGAAGCTGTGCTGGCTGTGACCGATGACAGTGTTATCTTTCAGGTGTTTTTCAATACTTCCCAGAGTAATCTTCTCCATAACTTTACCAGGCACTGAAGTGAGACTGACAGGCCTCTAGTTTCCAGGCTCCTCCTTCCTGTCCCTAAACTGGGACGATGTTTGCCATCTTCCAGTTAGCTGGGACCTCTCTGGATTCCCAAGACCATTCAGAAATCATTGAGAGATGTTTTTTGGTTTATATTTGAAAGAACATTATTTTAAATTATTTATTCATTGTTTGCTGATAAGCTTTTTCGGGCAGTTTTGGGTTTTGTAAATCTGAAGAAAGTGTCCAAGAGTGTAAAATTTAAAAAAAAAAAAAAAATTGCCCAGTTAAAAACCACTAAAAACCAACCACATAGTTTACGGACTCTCTATATAGGAATGAGTGCAATCCTTGAAAAATATTTGTCTTACTTTAACTCCACATATAAATATAAAGTTCTCAAAGGGAACCCTTGGCCTAAAAGTTTATTATGGTCTGCAGGTTAAGCTGCAGTGATGGTAGATCCCTTCAGTAACAGCTGTAGAGTCAGGAGCAGCATTTTAAGGTCTGAGCAAAAGTTAACACAAAAGGCTTCTAGTGGTTAAACAGCTCTTGAAGTTGCAGAATAAGTATTATAAAATTGTCTCTGCTTAAGTGTCTACAGTCTGATTTTTGAAATTGCTGGTGTGTACAGCAGGAAAAGAATATGAAAGACTGTGATTAGCACCAGCTGTCATAACGTTACCAGCTCTGTTAATGACACAGGCCTTTCCCCTCTTCTGTAAAACCAGGATCTAAAATAGAGACAGAGGTGTTAGTTGATACTTTAGCAATGATTTCTGTGAGATGAATTAATTTAAATACCAGCAGCCAGGTAAAAGCAGCATCTCATTTACACACATTCCTCTATGCAGCAGATATTTTTAGTGCATTCAGATTTTCTCTTGAAACAGGCATTCAGTGTCTCATGTTCGTTGATCCTTCTTTCTGTCCCATAACACCATTTTTTTTTCTTTCACGATGTGTGAATTCCAATTAAGACTTGCATGAAAACATTCAAAAAGATTTTAGCATTTATCAGCGTAATATTGTATTTCAAATTCATCAAATGTGAGAAAAGAGCGGTTTATTAAAAAAAACAAAAACCAGAAGTCTGAAATTATCTTATTACTGAAAAAAAAGCCACAATTTAGAGGTTTGGTGGGAAATTTTGTCATTTGCATGGTAATACAGATTTTTGCCATTTACTAACCAATTATTTCACTTCCACTGTATTGCATAATCATCATCTTTCTTTGTGATAACTTGTTCAAGAAGCATATAAACTGGGCTTTGCAAATTCATTCCTTTGTACAGTTTAAGAACTTGAAACCTTATTTAAAGCCTTGGTTTGATGTAGCACATAATAGAGAAATTTTTTGTTTGCAAGCTTGTCCAGTGCACATTGTGAGCTAAAATGTTGTTGACCTTGGTGAAATTCTGTTGCCTTTATGCTTGGCTTCAGCTTAGCTGGATTTCAGCCATTAAGGAATGGATCAGTTTGTTAATTTCTTTTGCTATCTTTAAGTGCAAGTAGATGACAAATCAGAGAAGTAAACAGTACATGCATAAAAATCTTAAATATTTCAGTGTTTCTGTTGTGGTTTGACCTCAGACAGCAACCAATCCCCATGCAGACGCTCACTTACTCCCACCAGGGGCATGGGAGAGAGACAGAATAGTAAAAGTGAGAAAACAAGAGTTGAGACAAGAGAGTTTAATAGCTAAAGCAAAAGTTGGATATGGAAGTGAAGCAAAACCAGGAATGAATTCACTGCTTCCCATGTGCAGGCAGGTGTTCAGCCATGTCCAGGACAGCATCGTGTGACAGTGACTTAGGAGGACAAATGCCATCACTCCAAACGTCTTCCCCTTCCTCCTTTTTCCCCCACCTTTATATGCTGAGCATGACACCATATCGTTTGTGATATCCCTTTGGTCATTGGGGTCAGCTGTCCCAGCTATGTCCCCTCCCAACTCCTTGTGCATCCCTAGCCTTCTCACTGGTGGAGTGGGGTGAGGAGCAAAAGACCCTTGAACGCTCTGCAAGTGCTGCTCAAAAACATCTTTGTGTTATCAGCATTGTTTTCAGCAGAAATCTAAACCACAATCCCATACTTTAAAGAAAATTAATTCTACCCCAGCCAAAATGAGCACAGTATCTTTTACTATTTTAAAGATTCAGTGCTGAATATTATTTGTTTATATTGTTTTATGCTTCATAAACTCATGACTTCAAGCAAATAACTTAAACAAACTTACCAGTGCTAAAGATTTCATTGTGAAGGGTGAGCTTTTCCATTGATGTTCTGTCTTTACATCTGACTCAGACAATTAAAATGGTGGTTTTTATTTAGCATTCTCTTTCTTTTATGTGTTGTTTCTCTCAAACCTGATGGTTGCTATTATGCTTTCAAAGCAATTGTTGTAATATTAATCATCTGCAAGTGATTTATGTGTTTAGTTCACTTTTAAGTAAAATAGGAAAAGTAAGATATAGTACTATGTCCAGTGGATGGATTGACAAGAAAATACAAGATTTCTAAGGAAAATAGGACCTGGGCTATTAGTCAGCTGAATGAGTAGCCAGGACTTCTATCTGTGATTTATATTGCTCTAATGAAATGAGAACCTTGTTG